AAACGTGGCGTTCAGAACGACGACTCAATTTCAAACTTAGGATTAGGCACAGGATAACACTGGAGTTGAGGTACCTATTAAATGATTAGACCGTTCTGCTACATCGACACGAGGTAACATGTTAAACAAATGAAAAAAAGAGACAACAAGACAAACTTAGTGAAAATTCCAGCTGCAAGACCATACGGTGTGTCGTTTGCAATCTGAATTGCTTCCTGTAAAGTGATAAGTATTAATTATCGAATACGCGATCATGTAACTGGATGAGAGTAAACTAAATGTCAAATAATCATATTAATTATGATATGAGTACAACAAATTGATCTGATAAAATCAAGACAAATAGCAAGAAATGAACCTCCAACGTCTCGAACGGTATCAACATTAGCACAGGTCCGAATATTTCCTCTTGATAAATTCGCATATCCGTACGAACATTCTCGATAATCGCTGGTGACAGATAATAACCTCCTTCCAGTCCCTGCACTGTCATCCGTTCCCCTCCACACAATACTGTTGCACCCTTAATTCACAACCATTCAATCCTCAATATTATCAATATGCAATAAAAAATATCGCACGAAATTGAAACTTAATAATGTATAATCAAAACAATACAATCTCAATGGCTAACATCCTTCAACCAAATACAACAAAGAACCTATTTTCAAGCACAAACGAATTTCGTAATCGACTTACATCGGAACTATGATAGATTAACTCGAACTAGAACAAATTGGACATGAATATTAAACAATTCTGTGCTTGTAATCTGCATTCAGGCTTCATAATTATACGAAATAAAGCTGATCAATATATGAAATCAATTCTGGATAACGCTACCAACCTGTTGTCTGGCCTCATCGATCAAACCTTTAACTTTATTCAGATGCTCCTCCGATATTAACGCACCCATTCGCGTGCTTTCGTCTAATGGATCACCCACTTTGATGGCATTTGTCGCTGCGAAAATGCGTTCACGAAATTCAGGGAGTAATAAATCATGAACCAGTATTTTGGATGCATTCGAACACACTTCACCTTGACTGAAATCAATTCAACTCATCACCACCACTATAAACATTCTCACGTCTTCATCTATCCCAATAGAATAAAACAACCAACTGACACATGAGTATGATGAAAGAAGTCCACGAAAGCATATTTCATTTAATCAAATGGAAGACGTAAACGATGATTACATCAACTACACTTTCAACTGTGTATTCATTTTAGCATTTTCTCTCTCGTCAACTTATCTCAATAAGTCAACGTTTCAGTCATCCGTGTTAAACCTTTATCAAATGAAACTTTATTGTTACTATTATTACAACTTTTGTGTCAGATTGGCAATCCTTCTTCGGCAATGAAAATATGACTTAGATTTACCAAACAACTTCGGCATAAATTTACCAAACAATGCAATAGTTTGATTATCATTATGCTGAAATTGGAAAGTGTGAATCAAAATGTGACAATTTGAAGCGAATAAAAACCTGAAGAAGTTGGCCATTAATGCTCCATTNACTGCAACTTCAAGATCCGCATCCGGGAACACAATGCACGAACTCTTACCACCCAATTCCATCGTCGCCGGCTTCAGACTGCCGTACCGAGAGCACGCAGTCAGCACCTTTGAACCCGTCGTCGAACTACCCGTAAATGTCACCTTATCAACGCCTTTATGCTCGCATAACATCCTACCTGTTTCGCCATCACCCTTAATTTACATCACTATTACTAATAGCTGCCTTCGAAAAAATTTTGATTGACGTGTTGAAATCAACTGAACTCTTGGATGACAAATAGTAATGAATCAAATAATTCCACACATGAGTGGGTGCGTACTTATAATTACGACAGAAGTGACTATATGAAGATATAATAACACTTAATTTCCGTACACAAATAATGGGAATTTGAATTGAATTCTGCGACTTTCATGCAGATAAAGCAACGAACTTGGACGATAACTGATTGAATGAATGAAACTTTGCAGCGAATGGATTTTGTTTGCAATTCAAAGAAATGACAAATGAAAAAACCTGAACAATCGATAAGATTCCATCGGGTAAGCCAGCACTTTGCAGGATGAGTGCGAGCACGAGGGAAGTCAACGGGGCCAGTGGCGATGGCTTATAGACGACGGCATTGCCGCATATCAGAGCTGGTGCTATTTTCCAGGATGCCGTCTGCATTGGGTAATTCCAAACGCCGATCGCAGCCACAACTCCAAACGGTTCACGCATCGTGTACGCATATCGTTGGTTATTCTCCAGTGGATAGTGCGACCCTGAAATTTCGGTTATCTCTTCATTGTATCTTCTCTTAGGTAGTGTTTTGCTTCAGTGAGTATTTCGATATCA